TAGACTCTAGACCAGATAAACCTTGATTGGAAGTGTACACCTTGGTGAAGGTCAGTGCATCCGATTGTGTATCTATTGTCCAAGCATATCAATAAACCAGAAAGACCACCAGCTCCAACTCGAAATAGCCACAACAAGATACGATACGAATTCATTTTCGTTTGACCCAGTTCGGGGCGACGACTATGCGGCATATGCTTAATAATTTGAGCACCGACCACTACCGGCTTTTATTTGTTTGCGTATTAGGGAAAAAACAACAACAATATCCACTACAATAACCTCAGCAAAGGAAAAAAAGAAATAAAAATATGCGCGATTTGTTATTTATTTTTTTATAAGATCTTTTTTTTTTTGCTGGGCACGAGGGTACAAAGTCCACAAATTATATTTTCTACGGTCTGCGCGGCCGTGTGATCTCTTCCTATACGCGGTCTACAATCGTTAATTATATTGCATAAAATTTAAATTGTTGCTTTTTTTCTAGATCGAGTGGGCCCGACCTTGTGGTTTATACGTATCTGTATTTACTTGTGAGGGGGGCGGGTCCAATGCCGGGTTTTATGTAACCATTAAAAATTCCCCCCAGCTGATAACGTATATATAATAGATTTTTCGACTATCAAAAACATGTGCCAGAATTTGGGTCACTAAAGCGATTCCGAGTTGAAGACAAGGGGAACGATCAGAATGGGTAAAAACAAAAAGGTGGCTACGTAAGCCACAAAAATGCAACCTTTGCTGAAACCATTGCATTTGTTTTCGCGTTGTTGTTGTTTACGCTTTTCCGACCTTCAACTGGGTTAAGAAATAAATGCGAAACACAAACAAACCTTCTCGGCGAATTAAAATAATTCGGCATAAACTGTTTCCTCTACCGCGTTGTATTAATTGCACTTCGATGGGCGATGGGTATTTATAAACGTTGCGGGGAAATGACAATTGCAAAATACTAGGCAAGATGCACACACGAGAAATTCCACTGGGGACACTATTTTGGATCCCCCTTTTATAAGCGACTTGATCGGCTAAACGTCGAGCGTTGACTGAATCGACTGCGAGCACAACGGGTTCGCTAGAGTCTTAAAAGCCCTCGGAGCGAAGCGCTGAGATATTATAGCGCCTATGTGCTTTTCTGCCTTGGATGTGGTTGTGGATGTGGATGTGAGTGTGGATGCGTCACAAGTCGAGGGGCTCGTTGCTCAGAAGTGTGGAAAAATGGAAAGGGTGCTCTGTGGAGTGTGTTGACCGGCGATAAGCCAAGCACGTTCTTTCCGTCTCCGCCTCTGACCGCCCTTTTTAGATCGATAGTTCCTTATCTCGGGCCGCTTTCGAAATGGATATCTGATTAGGACCTTTATGATTGATTGAAGTGCTCATCATTTGAAGGGGTATACGCCGTTAGTCTTGTCATTATCTCTTGAAAATATGTTTTTAACTTGGCTAGACGAATTTCTGGGAAACGAGGTGTTCTATCAGTGCGCCAGGTGAACCTTATAATGGATCTAATCGAATTTTGTAAAAACACTCATATTTGTTTTGATCATTAGGAGACAAAGTTTTTATAGAAGAATCAAAATACAATTCAAATCCTATTGACTTAAATGACTTAAACCTTAAGATCTTTTGTTTAAGGACGACTCAAATATATGTGATAAATTTACAAATATATATTAATTTTATAACTATTTTCAATTACACAAACATAAAGCTGTGTGAAGTCAGTCATTAATACCCTGCATTAACAGGGTAACAAGTTGCTACTAACAACTAGTTAATAAAATAGAGCACTGAAAAGCTACAAACTTTCTTTATTAAATTCCAAGATAAAACATCTTATTAGTCTAAAGTGCGAATAAAGAATAACAGCAACCCCCACTAACAGCTTATCCCATATATCATTCACTGAGTTATAAAAAAATAGCATAAATAACTCATATTCGAGTTATCATTCGGCACTATTTCGTTATATCAGAATTCGGTATCATAAAGATAAGGCTTTAAATTCGGCAGTGGGACTTTGACCTTTCCGCAGATGGCGCTTCGTCTTCATTCGAGTTAGGTAAGCAACTTCAATCTGAAGATCGGTGCTCCACACGTTTTCTTATCGCTCTTACATGACACGTTAGCTTGTTTACTTGATAAAATCGTTGAAAAACAAGGCTTATATGATTTGATTTTATAACCCAAAAACTGACCAATGAACTGGGTCAGATAAGTAACAATTGAGCAAACCGATAAAACCTATCGCTCACTATATTTAGTTGAAAGTCCAATAATCACATTGGCGGGGGGCCTGTGAAAACTTTGATAGTGCGCAATTTCGGCACATTGATATGGTTTGCCAGAGCACGCGGTTCCGATAAGAAACAAGTGCTGTCATCTAGAACCTATTGCAATCGGTGACGCGTTGAAAGTGTCTACCTGGCACAAATACCGCTCGCTTATCGCACGACTGGGATTTTGGTACACCGCCACCCAAAGAAAGTATAGCTAGCTGGAACTGAAATCCCCACCGTTAAGCATGCGGATGATGTGCTGTGGTATCTGTATCTTGAATTTGGACTTTGAACCGCAGCAAACTTGAAATGTGAAATGCGACGGCAACAGAAAAACAACCAAGGCAGCCACGCATGTCTAACGAGAGCGAGACGATCGCGGTGGGTCTTGGGATTGGGATTGGGTCTTGAGGGGCGGTACACAGGCGCTGGGAACCAGTTGTGCTTCGGACCCCCTCCCTCCACTCCACGTGCAAATCATTCACAGCTGCTGCGGCCTGCGAAACGAAAATGAATAAAAACAAGCAGGGTATCTTTCAGATACTCGACTGTGAGATACCCGCTGGTTCATTTAGATCGAGCTTGTTAATCGAAATATAATTATACATAAATATTATAAATATATATTATAAATGTTATTTATTTATAATTTTAGCAAGTAACCCGTTTGGAGTTTAGAACGACCTTTAAGGATGTCCATAGCATCAATACTAAACAAGGGGATTTGATAATTCCTTTCATAATCAGCTATCTTTAATCAAATATAAATTATGTATCATTTTTAATATTTTTGATAATGACTAGCCTGGTATTGATATTGATTTTTCTGTTATTTCTAAGCTTCATTCTAATTTGATAAACATTGTTTATAGTTTTTCTTTTTAATTGCAAATGATTTAAGTAAGCATTTTATTTTATAGAATTAGTTACATGTATCGAAGTTTCATTGAAGCTTTTCAGACTTATAGGTACCCGGAGATAGTTTGTTTCAAAAATGAAAACTTCTGACAAGGAATTAACAGTAACATAAATATTTATTTATTCCCTTACCGTTAAAAAATAAATATACCCTTTTATTCTACGTTTACCAGGTATGAAAACACAACTCTAAAGGGGAGAGGTCACTATCTAATGGATTTGCTACTTTCCATACTAGTTAACATCTAAATTCAGGGTTTATATTGACTGTTTGTTGTTGGGTTATGTTGGCAAAGCTTTTCTTTTAAATTTTCCTTGGTGGGAGAGCGAGGAAAGTGGGAGGGACAACAGAGAGGAACAAACAGAGAGCGTCACTAATCCACACAAATGCACCTGCCTGCTTTTGTGTGGGTGTTGGTGCTGTGTTTGTTTTACAGATGTTTACCAGTAAAGCTCTCTCAGTTTTTTATTCTCCTCCCACTCAAGACGAAGAAAAAAAGTGGGAGAGCTAACCAAAGAGAGTGCCCCGTTAAGCCTCTCCGAAAACTCGTTTCGGACTTTGAACCGCGTCGATTAAATTAAAGCGTGTTTTGAAAAGCACAAAACAACAACAACGCAGTCTAACAAAAAAATTAAAACAAACAAACAACAACAAGCCAAATAGAGTCGACAAGAGTTTTGTAATAAATACATTATTATTTGTTTTAAGTCTTCATTTCAGGCAACAAGTTTTTGTAAGCTTTGTGACCCAATTATTTGCGAACAGGTTAGAGTTTTTCTTTTTGGGCGGGGGCGAAAAACGGGCGGGCCAGCGTTTCGTTTCAGTGAGAGGAGGTAAATAATTTTCTGGGGCAACTCAATTTTCACAGGGCAATTTCCCCACACTTACATCCTTCGAAATGCAATAAATCCTTGTTTAAAAGCGCCTCCTTTTTTAAATTAAAATAATAAACAGGCGAAACAAAAAGAGCGCACACGAAAAGTTACAACAAAAACGAAGGACAACGGACGATGGAAGCAGAAAATCAGCAAAAAGCAAAGACGCGCGCGCAATGTTGTAAACGTGCGGTGGCAAAAGAGAGACTAAAACTGCGTCTGAGAAGGAAAAGCAAAAGCGAAACGGCAGCAGCAGTCAAAGAAGAGCAGCAACAATATACCATATGATCGGGCCAACAACAACAACAGCGGTCCAGTGGTGGTGGCTAAACAACTTTCAAAGGGGTTAAGCTTTTACAAACATAAATACATATATACATACATGTACTGTGTACATGGGCATAATAAGTTCAGCAAAATAATCATTATATACATATATACTTACATATATGTATTTATGTTTGTAAAAGCTTAACCCCTTTGAAAGTTGGTGAAATCTCACCAAGTTTTAAATCCAAAAGGTCTTAAAAGTTATACGAGAGTGTTTAAAATTCCCAAATTAAAATTTTTAAATCTACAAAACATTAAATAAAACAAAAAATAATCTTGAATAAACTCTTTGGATTCCTTTCAATGATGTACACCGAAACAGATTTTAAATTCCTGCAGTTTAATCCTTAAATATATTATGTATACGCTCCTCACAGTTGTTTGTAAAAATCCAAATATGACTATATAGTTGCCAGTGTTATAAAAAAAAACCCTAAGTAATAAACGATAATTAAATTTGGCATTGGGAAGCCAAACTATTTTAGGAAAAATAGATAGGCTTATATTTGTCCCAATCATTCCATTGGCAGCTTTTAAACATAGTTATCCTATTTTAATGAAAATACAAATTTCCTCCTCGTTATGAATGCAATTTGGTTCTGTTCACGTAATCAGATATATATTTACCAAATATAAAATGGAACTTTTGCTTCTCATCTTAACTAATGTCTTAAGTAAACTGTCTGTTAGTCTAAGTACAAAGTCCACTATTCGGGAACAGAAGCAGCCTGCTCCTCCTGTTGATCCTTTTCCTTAGTGGACAGGCCGCGAATGCTGACGTCGTAGACTACCTCTTCGATCTTCTTGACATCATACTTTAAGGCATCAAAGCGCTTCCTCAAACCATCGTTCTTTAGATTCAATAGACGGAAGCCCGTGTTTAGGTCGCCAATAAAATGAGAGATGTTGAGGGGACGTTCATAGTCGCCCATGGTGACAGAATTGGTGGCAAATCGGGAGAGTTCCGAGGCCAACTGAAGGATGCCCAGCAGGTAGTCCTCCACATCCAGATGGAAGCCCTCGGACTGATTGGTCTTCACTGCAAATAAATAAATTAACATTACATTTAAGGTTTTTTTAAGGATTGCTACTATCGAACACTTACATCCCAACATTTCAGCCACAGTTTCGCGGGTAACCAAAAATCCCGCCTCCAGGTAAATAACCAAAGCAATGAGAAAGATCAAACGCTGCGTGATATAAGTCCAATGATCGGAGTATCTGTAGAAAGCGGTCCATTAGACACCCACTATGAAAAGTACGGATTTTCTAGCCGTTTGACTCACCTGTAGTACTGCCCTGCTGGCACCAAGCTGGCCAATTTCTGGTACTTTTCGGCGCAGGCTTCGATTTGTTTGCGTGCCAAACCACAGGCGCCACTAACTATGTTTCAAGGAAAATACATTATTTATATTGATAACACAGCTAGCTAAAACCCATAGTAATAAACTTACTCTGGCTTAAATCGCTGTGAATAATCTGCAATTTAATCTGTACTTCCTTAGCCAAATGTTCGATTTCGCGCACCACAATGCGGATGTTCTTTAGAAAGGGATTTTTAAGAAAGTTATTGACTTAATTCATGATTCACCTACCTCCCTGAGCTCCTGCTCATTATCAATATACTTCTGGTAATTAGAAAATATGTCCAAATTCACAAAGTTCGACATTTTTGGTAACAATTTCACTTGTGTTGTCGCTTGTTTATGCCGGTGTTAGAGATGGTAATTGAGACAAGCAATAGTTTGTGTATTGCTATCGATAGCTGCGACTGTTATCGCTTACCCAAAACAGTGTTGGCTAACGCCTGATTTGTCATCTGTGGTTTTATTAATTTTGTTTTGTCAATCAAGTTCCAATTAGAATTGAAATAGGCTCGTGACAAAATGTCGTATGTGAGTGTTTTTTGGCTTGAGCAAGTGGAATAAAATGATTAATTGTTCACTATTTGCAGGGACAAGGTTATAATCCGTATGGTCAGCCCGGTGGAGGCTATGCCGCCCCGCCCGGAGCATTTCCACCGCAAAATGCCCAGGTTTCTCCGCAGGCCCAGCAATGGTTCGCAATGGTGGATCGCGACCGGTCTGGAAAGATTAACGCCTCCGAGTTGCAGGCCGCCCTGGTAAATGGGCGTGGCGATCACTTCTCGGATAACGCATGCAAACTGATGATAAGTAAGACGGAGTCCCTACAATTCCCCAAAATTCCCATAGTCCCCCCCTTCAGGAATTTTTGTGACGTCAGTTGACTTCCGTGTTGTATACAGATACAGTAGAACTTCCATAACTCGAACATCCATTTCTCAAAATCGAACTTTTTATATAGTTATATTTATATATTGACTTTCTGTTTTGCTATACCAATTTTAAAACTGTAAGTCCAAGAGTTTGGCGACTTGTGCAGAATAGATGAACATTTTAATGATTAAATAGTTATTAGTATAGAAATAGGAAGTACAAATACTAGTTATAGCACTTCTATAACAATCTTTTTGATGAAATTTCTAGTTAAAGAAGTCTGACTGTAGCTGTATACAAATTTATGTCGGGCACATGCATATTTGTTTAGATCACCTGGAGCGCCTGGCACTATCTAAATTGTTTACCTTAAGATTAATGCCCTTTTTATGGCTTTTTTTTTAAATTTACTCAATAGGCATGTTCGACAACGATGCCAGCGGCACCATTGATGTGTATGAGTTTGAGAAGCTCTACAACTATATCAACCAGTGGCTGGTAAGGATTTTATTGTGTTGAAACCTAGTTTTTGGCTTATTGAGCTCTCTCTGTTGCAGCAAGTCTTCAAGACCTACGACCAGGACGCCTCTGGACATATCGAGGAGCATGAGCTTACACAGGGTATGTTCAGCTTTTCACTTCAATCAAAATATTCAGAAATTCATTTTATTAGTCATCGTTATCTTTGAAAATGTTTGTCGTTTTGTTTGTAAAGACAAACAAAGTTTTATCGATCTTAAAATAAGTAAACATTTCGACCGTAAAAGTACTTACCTTTTCCTACATATAAAAATTGTGACTCACTTTTAGGGAGAAATGCAACCATAATAAGCAGGGCGATTTTTTTGTTACGCCTTTAAATTAGTCAACTTTTTATGAAAATGGTAACTTGAGAAATATTTATGTGAAATGTTGCTAGAGTAATCTTTGATAAAAAGCAAATAATTATAATAAATAAATTAGGACTTTTTTTTTATAAGGATGAAGTACCGAATAATCATTCCCTGAGAGGAACGAAAAAATATAAAGAATTGTTATTAGATTTAAAGCCTATAGTGTGATAATCTCTACAGTCTCAATGAGAAATGTTGTAACAATTTATTTCCATGCTACATAGGTTTTTATAATTTGAATAAAAAAAAAAAAAACTTAACGCTTCCAACTAACTAAAAAATGTATATTTTCAGCCTTCACCCAGATGGGCTTTCGCTTTACGCCTGAGTTCATCAATTTTCTGGTGAAGAAGAGCGATCCGCAGGCACACAAGGAGGTGTCCGTGGACCAGTTCATCGTGCTCTGTGTTCAGGTGCAGCGCTTCACCGAGGCTTTCAGGCAGCGGGACACCCAACAGAATGGAACCATCACAATTGGCTTCGAGGACTTCCTGACCGTGGCCATTGGCTGCTCGTACTGATTTATCAAGGCAACCGATCCAAGGGAACTAAAATCCATACTCTTGCACACACACTACAGGCATCAGATTCCGCGCTTGATGCATTTTCTTTAAATTTCTACGGTGTTTGTTAGCTTTTTAATATGTAATGCATAATTTCACTCAACAGTCACATTGCAATCTCCTGGTACCAGAATCCAATTTCAAAAGTATTTGTTATCGCAGTTCGACTCAATCATAGTACAAAGTCTCTTGCGCCTAATAATAAACTATACACATGTATTTTTAAAAGTTAATATATAATTGTGTTTTATTTAAAATGTAAACATTGTATATGAAAGGTTCATTATAAAATCATGTCTTATGTTAGCAGTCACACTGCCCCACAGTTCGAAATCGTGTCTTCGTAGATCGGGGAAGATCACGTTGATATGCAGTTAGGAATTATAATCTTATTTAGTATACAATCATAAAATCTTGGGCGATTCAATGTGACGGCACAAAAGCTTAATGGTAAAATACAAACATTAATATCAGATAAAACATTTAGGCATAATAAGTGTTTGGTTTTTTGGTTTGGGAATCGTATGATGTTCCAATTTCTTTTTGGTCATGGGTAAATAATTTTTACGATACAAAAAAGTCAGTCTTAAAGTCCGTAACTATATCAAACGAATGTCTTCAGGGCAAGGAATATGTTTGTTTTTTTTTGTTCCAAATTGGGCAATGGCTTGTTTAATAAGAAGATCTGAAAATAATCTCTTTTAAACTAGCTCAGTCATGAAGTATTTAGTGTATATGGCATCGATTGAGGTGATCGAGTAGTTACCAAAAGTTATGTCTTAGGAGCTTGATTAAGCCAAGTTAAGAGATCGTTGGGTGGCAGAGGTTTTTTTGGGCAAGATGCTGGAAACATTTCGGAAATACTTTTAATTTTAGATAGCAGCGTAGTGCTTTTAATCTCTTAAATGATACTGGCCTTATAAAAATTTAATTCAGAGTTGATCGAATCTCTTGTTTATATGTTGCACAATAGTTCGATTATATAAAAATTATTCGATTGATATTTTTTTTTTTTACAATTTTCAAGTTAAGAATAGACGCATCAACATATTTAGCGCATCATTAAAAAAAGGCCTTAATACTACTTTGATTATTTGCTTGATTAGATTGGTTTACATTTGCTTAGATAACATAAATTATTACAAGTAAACATTAAATATTTGGGATGACACACATGAATGACAAGAAATAATATTCGCAAATGGACAAATCAAGACACATCAAACTGACACCAGTCGAAAGAGTTTCAAATTAAATTAAATGGAAGCATCACTCGGTCCCCATACAGTTTTATTTGGTTTCAAGCTGTGAGCACTCTCCCTTCACATTGAAGTCGATGATCAGCTTGCCCTGCGAGTCATCCGACATGGAACCGCTCATACCATTTTCGCATTTCATCGAGTACTTGGATCGCCTTTTGCTGGGCAGCTGCGGCAGATCGGTGTGGTGTTTCCGCACATGGACACCGAGATTGCCGCGCTGCTTGGACTTGTAGGGGCAGTAGGGACACTGATGCGACGGCTCCTTGCCGCCGCACTCCACATTTTCGTGGCGACGCAGTGTGGACTTCCAGCGATACTTTTTGCCGCAGTGGCGACACTCGTACACCGGCTCCCCGTCCAGGCCGATGCCATTGGGACTGGTGGTGCTGCCGTTGCTGCTGCTGCCACCGTAGTCGCTCAGTGTGAACTCCAGGTTGCGAAAGGCCTGCGAATGGGCCTCCAGTATCGAATTGGCCGATCCACCATGGGCATTGGCATGGAACATGCCCAGTCCCGCATTCCGTACACCGCCACCGCCACCGCCGGCGCCGCCCTGCTCCATCAGGTGAATGTCATCGAAGGCATGGTATCGACCCTCATCTTCGTCCTCCGTCGAGTAGCCCGGTTCGTTCTCGCACTCCGAGTGGCGGAGGTCACGCTCTTGCTGCTTCCGCAAGAGGTTCTCCAGTATTTTGGTGGGTGTAATGTCGCTGCCGCCGCCGCCGCCGCCGCCGGCGACTCCAGCATCGTTCTCCTCCTTGATGCGATGATGCGGCGTCTGATGGCGCAGAATCTCCTGGGCACGCAACTGCTGTTGGAAGCTGTGCAGGCCATTCCGCATCAGGGCCTCGGCAATAACGGCCGCCTGCGGTTTGGGCGCCAGGGATAGCGAACTGTTGGCCACCAGCACGGATGTTGGTATGGCCGTAACACCGCCCACCGCCTTTTCCATGGGCGACGCCGCTGTCTTCAGAGTGAATTTGGGCCTTGGATGAAATGAGGCGGCGGCGCCAACGGCAGCACCCACCACATGCGTTGTTGCTGTTGTGGTGTTCTGAGTCCGCATCATTTCATCAGCATTCAAGTTTTTTGAGGCCGTCTCAGAGGCCGAACCATAAACGGCCATGGCCGGAATGGTCGAGGGATCGAGAATCTCGCCGGATGTCGGCGACACCTGACGATGCGACACCTGCTGCTCCTGCTTGGGCACCTTGGCCGACTTGGTCTTGTAGAACTCGAACAGCATGTCGGAGACCTCGGTGACGGAGAGGCGTTTGCGACGCGAGCCGGGCAACTGGATCTTCTGCTCATCCCGCTGCTTTCCGTTGAGAATGCTGCGCTGGAAGCTACGCTGAATCTCTGCAGTGGTGGCCACATCCGGTGCCGTGTTCTCCTTCCTGCTCAAATCTGTAATCGGAAACATAGTAGGGAATTAGTTTTTTTTTTTTTTTTTTTGTTGCTACTTTCTCTTGCGGATGATAACTCGTTAAAAAAAGTTTCTTCGTTTTGAGCTTTGTCGAACGTTTTGCTGATGGGCTGTTTTGCTGTGTGACAAATGAAAAAGCAAGTTGTAACTCTCGGGTTGCTGGGATTAGGGCAAGAAATGGTGTAAGATGAAATGCATGCAATAGTTAAGCAAAATACTCTACAAATAAATCAACAAATTAAAGAAAAACACATAAAATTATTTTGTTTTTTTTTGTTTTTTTTTTTTTGCATTTTTAAGCAAAATTACACATAATTAAAAACTTTATTAATTTGGTAAACACACACATTTTTGGCATATCGAATAAAAAAAGCTGCAGCAGCAAATGAAACACAGTTTTTTTTTTTTTGTTTTGTTTTTTTGTAGGTGATGGATGATGATGTTGTGGCTGATGTGTTGGTGGTTTTATGTGGTGAGTGAGTTTTTGTACCAAAACCATTTAAATTGTAACTCATTACCTGAGTGATCTGGAAAAACAGAGAAGAATAGGTTAGCGATATGTTGAAATTGTTATGATTCCGTTTTTATATCACAGTTCGGGCGTAATCCAAAGATTGTGTGTACCTAAAAATAAACAAGATATTGTATTTAGTTGAGTGATTTTTAACTTAGTTTTATGTGCTTTTTACACTGGGTTGTTTATTGGGTTTTCGGTTTTTTAATGTCATTGAAACTTATTGATGACTTAAAGAGTTGCGATAAAATCAGCTAATACACCACTTTTTATCATCACTAGGCTAAATAAATAACAAAAACACTAAAACTCAAATTACAACAATGTGTAAAAAGCACAATATAGTGCATTTCGCGCTTTTGACTTTGGTGGGTTGGCCTGGGCGGAGCTTTATTATTTAAATAACCAATATTTAAATAATTAAGCATTTAACTTTCGCTTTTCCAAGCTTTTTCACTGCTTAATTTGCATTCCGCCCACGACCAACGCACTGAAAAGCGTCCACACGGCAACACAATCGCGACTGCACTGGTTAACAGGCTCTAGCTTACGGATTTTCAATCCAAGTCCTAAGTCCCAACACGCAGGCGCAGCTGCATCTAGAAAATTCTCCTGTATCTGCATCTGTATCTGTATCTGTGAGTGTCTGTGAGTGTATGTAAGTATCTGTGTGAGCGTGTGTATCTGTTGCACAGCAAGTGTAGAGCCTGCCTGCTTTCGGATCGGGTTTGTTTCGTCTAGTCTAGGATCCTTGATTTATTTTCGGGTTTTCTACCTAACTCAACAGTTGTTGTTGTGGGCTGTTTGTTGTCCCTTGTTCTCTTTCTATTTCTATTTATGGAAAAACTGAAAAACTGCAATACGGAAAACTTTCTCCGAGAGCAGAAAATCGCTCTCTGTTTGTGGTAGCAAAAGGGAGAGAGTTTTCAAAGCATTTTAAGCAGGCGCAGTGAAATACATACATGTAAACTCAGCTTCCGGTGGTGTTTTTCGTGTTTATTTTCAAACTCCAAATGCATCTGTTCGACATACATGTTGGATTTTCAAGGTCAGCAGCGGAAAAGTTAATTTAATTTGTTCTCGATTGTTACAGACTTCAGGGCTGTTAATGAATTTCTAATATAAACTTTTTTATTCTATCTTAATTTTTGAATAAATATGTAACTTGGGGAAGATCCACTGCTTAAAAGTTGAAAATTTATGAACGTATATTAAATATTAATAAAGTTACCTTTAGAATTATTTGAAATTTACGACTTCGCTAAGTTTTTTTTTTATATTTAAGAACAATTTCTCATAGTAAACTATCCCTTTTATTTTTAGCATAAAGTCCTGTTTCGGATCATTTTGGATCCAAAATGTCATGATATAAAGTTGGCAGAACCACTAAAAAAAATAATTTAGATTGCTGCTGCTAATAAATTTGGTTCACAAAATTCTATACATCAGGTCTAAGTCCTTTTTTTGTAACTTTTCCCTAATTCTTCAAGAATTATGCTGTTCTAGAAATCAAATATATTTATATTGTTGTTTTGTTGTATATTTTAAAAGAGTACTAAAATGCAGTTCGGACATTTTAAATAAATTCTAAAAACGCTCTCTAATACAAATCTATTTTTTCAAAATAAAATGCGGAAAAGTTATATATATTTATAGGTACATGTGTTGGGTATTTTCAGAACTCCAGCTTCAAGGCGCTTCCTTTCTCGAAAAATATCTCTAAACACACGCACATACGATTATCATGTCCATCAAGGTTTACCGACGATTTTCCAGGAAAATCCCACACAAATAGCTTGAAAACCAGCCCCTGAAACTTGTGTGTCCTGTGTGTTTGGGTTGATATTTCTTCTTTTTTTTTTTGGGCCAGGCTTTGCGAAGGTAAAGCCCAAAGGAGAGACCGATAGGGCAGGCAGGCAAAAATAGGAAAACTCGGGAAAAATCACGTGGGAAGCCCAAATGCAAAAGCCGCACCAGCCGAGATACAGATATATGCACATACATACATATATAGATACATAAATGCATACA